TTATCCGTCAGCACCAGGTGCTGAGTTAGCCCATGCTGTTTTGGCTGCCTCTAGTTCGCTTTCTTCGAATGGAGCGAAAGTGGTGGCATCGGTGTTTCGTGGTTCGGGATGAACCGTCATCGTCTCCGTCGCAGCCCGCTCGAAGATCCCGCTATACAGCTCCTCAACCGCTTTTAGAGGTGGTACCTCTTCAGTAGAGTCTAGTGGAGTTCCTGAAATGATTTTATCCACTAGAGCTGATCTGTTACGGAGGTAGAGATCCTGGGCCTTTTTGTATGATTCTACCCGTGGACCTCTTCCTGGTCTAGTACCTCCGTAATTTGATTTTGGTCCACCTCTGTGACCATTTGGGTTGTATTTCCTTCCCCCTTTTTGGAAATCTTCTATTATCCAATTGTCTAGATAGGAGGCAAGATCATTAACCGCAAGCGATGATCCTGCCTGGCACAGGTCCGCCAGATGGCCGTTCCCATTGGCCAGCGCTGCTTCGCGTTCAGACGCGAGGTATTCGCGCAGCGCTGGTTCAATGACCACCTGGGTTTGTTCGACCTGTGCGGGGGAGTTGGCGGTGAGGTTGACTGCATCGGTGCGGGGTCTCCTTACTGTAGGCTGCGACAGAGGCGACATCGATTCATTCCGAATCCTCTTCCTGCTTGTCATCGGATCTGGAGTGATTGGCGATAGTGCGGACGCAACCGCGGAGGAGCACTCACCCTCTTTTACATCGTCGCGAGCTGTTGGTGGCGTCGATGTCGCTGCCTGATGGTCGATCTTCTCGTTCGTTGGGCAGGTGGGCGGCTCACAGGGCACACTGGGAGAAGGGATTGGTTGCTGTTTCTTCCTAGCGGCATCGAGGTATTGCTTATAGATGGGTTTATCCCTTCGATGCCGTATTTGGTCCTTCGTCAGACCTGATTCGGCAACCATTTTCGCCATAAAGGGGCCTTTATGTGACTGGATCTCGATGTTTGCCAGTATATCATAGATTTCGGAATCAGGCCTTCGTAGTTCCCTCCTCCTGCTGTCGTTTTTCTGCTTCGGGGTGTGCCCTCTGCTCGTGAAGCCGCACCCCTGTGTATGTAGTAAAACTGCTTTGCAATATTGGC